GATCTTCCTAATATTAAAATAATAATAGTAATAGTAATAATAATAGCAATAATAATAATAGCAATAATAATAATACCAATAATAACAGTATTAATAATAAAAAAAGAATCAAATAATCAAATAACAAATAATAAGAATAACAATAAAATATTTATTAATACAATTTACTAATTATTTAAATATATAAAAACTTATTCTCAAATGTATATTTAAATTTCAAAATAATTAAATATAAAAAAAATTAAAATCAAAGTCATATATCATAAAAATGAAATTATTAATTCAGTTATATTTCTTAAATTTTATCATGTTGTTGAGTATCTTAAACGTTTGCCTCGAGTTGAACTTCATCATTTCTGCTTTTGCCAACACAACGCTTTTTTCTAACTCCATCTCGATCTGCAGCTTGAGCTAGAAAACTGATGACTTTGGCTTCGATATTGGCTTTAGTCAAATCTGGAAACTGTTTCATAACAACAGCTACAAGCAAGTAAGAAAAGTTTTTTTAACCACATAATCAGAGCAAAAAACGTGATTATAAAATTAGTAATTAAATTTTGGTATAAATATAAATAAAAAAAAAACGATCAATATACAAAAAAGATTCAATACATATATATATATATAATGAATCTTTTTTGTAAATATAAATATATATATATATATATATATATATATATATTTATATATATATATATATATATGTATATATATATATATATATATATATATATATATATATATATATATATATATATTATATATATATATATATATATATATATATATATATATATATATATATATATACATTTAATAGCAAATTATTAATAATGATTAATTTAAGAGGATGCTAAGCTGTTATAAGGCTAAATAAGTTAGCATAATAAAATAAGATGAGATCTTTAACTTATTTAAAACTTCATATTATTTTTAACTCTAATGTAAATATATAATAAATTTAAAAAAAGCTTTAATTATACCAGTGACTTAGCATAGTTTTATTGCAAAGTGTTTCCTCACCCAAAAAAAAGTCATTGTTTGTATGTAGTGGTAATTGAATCCATTGATTTATTTGTGGCTTAAGTGTCACTCCGGTTGTAGAACTGTTACCAATAAATGCTACTTGTGTTTTAATTCGCTCCAAACGATTAAGTATCTTTTTAATGTCGTATTGTATAGCCACAAAAATATCGATTTTCTAATGCATTAAATAAATATTAATTTATAAGAACTTTATCAAAAAATACTTTTATAATCCTAAAAGAAAGCAATTATAAATTACACCATTAAATTACAATATTACACATTACATAACGCAAACATTAAACATAAGTTATAATGTATGAAAACACTTGTATATAAATTTATAAGAAACTATAAGAAGAAAAAATTTAAGGAAAAACAATTACTTTAAAGTTTTTCGTTTGCCAATAAATGGGATTGATTTTTGCTACCTCCATATTCTGAATTTAAAACATTAAATTGAATTGAACTTGAGTGTGCAGAGCTGATGATATCATCAGGCACTAGAGCTGTTGCATTCAAAGATAAATTAAGTGAAGGTATATTAGAGCTAATTGGATATCTATTTTGTGTACTTATTGCATTAACTGAAATAGGTTTTTTGTTAAAACGCAAATTTGTTTTGCGTGGTGAATGTATTTTATTTATCGCAACAAGTTGCTTTGGAGACAATGAAGCTAAAGAACTTTCCCCATCACTGTCATTATCACATGTACCACTACCAAAAACAACATATTTATTAACTTTAATTCTTTTTGTGTTAGTTCTGACTCACTATCACTAACATCTATACTTGATGTATATAACAACTTATCAACCATTGATGTAACTAAGTTAAAATCATCTAAAAAGATTTTAACAAATAAAAATGTTATAAAAAAGTATAAAGCAATTGTGCATACATATTTTATTTCCATTTACAATAGCATAAAAAAACATTATACTTGATCCTCCAAGTATACGAACTGCATATTTTCCCCAATCGCTATTTGGTATAACAAAGTTAATAACAGCATTTGAGCATTTTGCAGCAGACTTTAAATGATCCGGGTAATATGCTTCTTTGCAGCTTAACAACCAACTAGAACATATTACATCCATAGAGCATCCTTTCCCAGTAAGCACAAAGACGTTTAAAAGACGTTTTAATGATGTCTTTAAGGAGGTCTAAAAGGCGCACTTGTAGACGTCTAGATCATAAGGCTAAAAGACGTCTAAATAAAAACGTCTTTATAAAAACGCGTTTTAGACGTATGTTAGACGTTTTTTTCAAGATAAATTTAATTCGATGACGTAACAATTTCGCGTAGTATGTGGTATATATTCATTGTATTTATAACATCATATATTGTTATAATTTCGTATATACAAAATATACATAGGAACCAGCAATCAAAATAATATTGCTGTAATCACCACCAACGGTTGATGCATCAAAGATGAAAATAATAAATAACAATAACAAATATATATCAAAACAGTATTTATAACATTTATAACTTACATTTAGTTATGATAAAATTAAACACACGTATTGCTAGCTAATTTTTGACCGCATACTTGACTTATTATATGGCTTGTGGGTGTATAAAAACTAAAAGTACTGATATTTAACTTATATATTATTCTTGCCATTTTCACTTAGTATCATGATCAGTCAACTATCTATTAAAAAAGCAAAATAATTAATAATAAAAAAAAGATATAATATTATTATAGCAATTATTTTAGTGATTCCTGTGACAACAATTTTTATTTAGCAATTGTGTAAAAAAGTAATTTAATTTAAAGTAATTTACACTTAAAACTTGAACAAATTATTGAAAATATTAAAAACTATGTTTTTATTTTGAATATACGAGATCTACTTAACGCGTAATGACAAAGCCGTCAAAAAGAAGTCATAATGACATATTTATAAACAGGTCTCAGAAAAGACGTCTTTTAGCTTTGATCTAGACGTCTTTTAATGCGTATTTTAGACTATTTATTACGCGTCTTTTAAACGTATTTTCAAACTTTAAAAAGACGCATTTTAAACGTCATGTTAAAATTGCATTTATTAAAGACGTCTAGAAGATGTCTTAAAAAAAGATATCATCTAGGCGTTTTTTTAACGCTTAAATAGACGCCTTTTAAACGTCATTTTATAAACGCTTTTATTAAAGACGTCTAGAATATGTCTTTAAAACGTCTATAAAAGTGCGTCTTTACCTAGACTAGTTTTAGACGTCTATAAGTGTCTAAAATGCGTCTTGTGCTTACTGGGTTTAGATTTACTGCTCTCTGTTTCAAATGCCTCTACAACAAACTTCTTTTTAGTTAGTTCTTGCTTTGACTGTGACATAATGATATATTGTGATGACTAAAGATATATATATATTATATATATATATATATATATATATATATATATATATATATATATATATATATATATATATATATATATATATATATATATATATATATATATATATATATATATATATATATATATATATATATATATATATATATACATATATATATATATATATATATATAAGTATATATGTAAATACATATATAATATATATATAATAAATATATATGTATAATAAGATAATAAAATATATGCAAAATTCACGTCCAGGAGGTAATCCACTGGTATTTAGAGTGATAGCCCTCCAACCAAATAAAGAAACATTAAATAATGAATACTGATTTTTTCTGGAAAAAAACTGGCCTGTTTTTGGTCCAGGCAATCATTCAAATGCAGCTAAACTGTTACATGATTGGTGTGGAAAAATTTCTTAATTTGTTTTATCACTCTCTGATCAATTGAAAAGTTTAGAACAAAATGATAAACAAAATTTGTGTGACCTTGCAAATTGAGATCTGACTTGAATGCAGCAAATGATAAATTGAAATCTTCTAGTATCAGCAATGATTGGGCTCAGATAGTAAAATATGTGAGTAAAAATTCAAAAAAGCTAGTTGAACAGTTAACTGTTGAAAATGTAACAATCAACGAGTTAAACGAGAGAGAGAGAAGCGCAAGAAAAATATTATTGTTTACGGAGTACCTGGGTCGAAAAAAGAAGTATTTCTTGAAAAAAAAACAGAAGATGAACTTGCAATTAAAGGTATTTTGTCTTTCATTAATAAAGCTGGAGTTAAGCCAGTGTATTTGAGAAGGTTGCATTCTAAAGATTCAACAAAACCTAGTCCTATCCTTGTTGAACTTAGTGAACCGAGCCTACGAAATCCGATACTTTTAGCAGCCAAAAACTTGAGAAATCGCGAAATTCATAAATCAGTTTATTTAAGTCCAGATTTAATTGAAGCAGAAAGGCAGTTGCATTATCAACTTAGACAAGAGAGAAACATATTAAATTCAGAATTGAATTCTAACTCTCCCTTTCGATATGGAATCCGTCGAAATCAAATCCAAAAATTCAATAAAACCTAATTTAGATAAAGAGTTCTATCAAAACATAGAAAATAAAATTTTTTGGAAATGCGTGTACCTAAATGCTACATCTTTGAAAAATAAATTTGATGAATTTACGGTTGTTGTCAATACAAATTGTCCATATATAATTAGAGTTACCGAGACTTGGTTCAAAAGTGTCTCAATAGTCATTATTTAAGGGTATAACATTTATAGAAGAGATAGATATGATGGTCGGAGAGAAGGTGGTGTATGTCTATATGTAAAAAGTTCGATTTATTCATATGAGCTAAACAGTATTCAGTTTAGTCAGAGCAAAATTGAACAAATCTGGGTTGTACTGTTCTTTGATAAAGATAAATATTTAGTTGGTTGCCTCTATAGACCAAGTGATTTTATTGATATGGCTATGTTGATAAAAAAGGGTTTAAAGATGTTTTAATTACAGGAGATTTTAATTTTCCTTTTTATAAATTGGTCTAATGGAAATGTATCTTCTATTAATAACAATTCAGGCATTGAACATATCTTCAGTAACATGTTAATTGACACTTGTCTATATCAGCATGTAAACACTCCAACTTTCCAAATCTCAAATGAAATAGCAGTTAGTATATTGGATTTAATTTTTACGACTGAATCTGGAAAAGTATGTGCAATAGATACACAGTTTACGCTTGGTAATACTATTAAAGGACACTTGGTAATATTTTTTGATTACTTTCTTAAAAATAAAATGAAACTTCTACCGGTGAACTGTTATAAATTTGTTTACAAAAACGAAATTATGAAAAAAATTTTCAATTTATTTCAAATGTTGACTGTGTACAACTCTACAAAAATATGCCAGTTCAGGATATGTATAATGAATTGATTTATTACTCCAACATTGCAAGCAATTTATTTATTCCCACTACTGATGTTTCACAAGTTAGAAGTATGGAAACTCCTTGGATAAATAAAGAACTTAAATACCTGATTTGGAAAAAGAAAATTTGAGATACAGAAACTGTGCTCGAAAATGGAAAGATGCTAATTTGAGTAAAGATTATATAATACTATGTCGGATTATAAAATCTGAAATGAAGCGTTCTCGAATAAATTATGAACAAGACTTAATTAAAAAAGCTATGCAAAATCCAAAATTGCTATATAAATATATTAACAACCAGTTAGTGGTAAAAGATTCAATAAAAGCTTTACAATAAGACGATGGATATATTTCACAAGATCAAGTTGAAATCGCTAATATTTTAAACAAATGTTTTCAAGATGTATTTGTTATTGAACCTGATGATGCCCTTCTTAAGTTTGAGTCAAGATTTAGCAATTGTGCTACAATTTTTTCTGATACATTTTTTATTTACAAATTTTTCTGATACATCTCCAGACGAAATCAATTGTAATGATGTTTTGAAGAGGCTTCAGAGTCTTTACAAAAATAAAGCCTTCGGACCTGATAAACTCCATCCTGCCATGCTAAAGAATGCTTCAGAAGCGTTTGCACTTCCTTTAACATTAATCTTCAGAGAATCATTAGCTTCAAGCCAACTTCCAATTCAATTTAGATCTGCAAATATAACTCCTCTTTTCAAAAAAGGTGACAAGGCAGTTGCAGCTAATAAAAGACCAGTTTCCCTCACGCCAGTTGTGTGCAAAATACTTGAAGGTATTATTCTTAACAAAATTGAAATTTTTACAAAAATAATTTGCTAACAGAGCATCAGCATGGATTCATAAAGAATAAATGTTGCACAACAAATCTTTTAGAAACAATTGATTTTATAACGTTAAACATCGAAAGTCATACTCCAATTGATGTTGTTCTACTAGATTTTGCAAAGGCCTTTGATACAGTTCCTCATAACAGACTGTTACTAAAACTAAGAGCTCATGGTATTGATGGATTAGTACTGAAATGGATTGAATCTTACAAATTTCTTACAAATAGGAGACAGAGGGTAGTTAAGGGTGACATTGTCTCTAATTGGGTTGAAGTATTTAGTGGTGTGCCACAGGGTTCTGCAGGCCTTGCGATAAAGCGTCGGGCGATGTGAATTTTACGTCGTCCAAGAGCGATTTTGCGTGTAGCTAGGGCTATTTGCGTTGAGCAAAAAAATTTTTGTTTGAGTATATTTAAAGATATTTTTGAGCGGAATTTTAATGAAGTAATTTACGATTATTTTAACATTTAATAAAGTATTTTAAAAACCGCACGCAGTTGAAATAAAAGTTTGAATTAAAAAAAATTGAATATTTACAAGTAGAAAAAGTTCAGATTAAAAAAAAAGTTTAAATCTTTTAAGCTAACATTTTAATAAAATTATTCAGCAATTGCAAAATTGAACAAAAATACTTTCTTTTAGTTTTAGATTTTAAACTTAAATAATTATTTTACGGGGGTTTGTTAGGTTTTAAAATTATTCCATAGATTTAAAAATATTTATTAACTGTTAGACGTATTTAAAGAATGTAAGAGTAATTTCGAGGAAACATTTTAAAAATTGGTGAGCGCAAATAAAATAAAAAAAAAAGGATTAATATTAAAACGTATTCTACTTGATTCAATAAAAAAAGTACAGTTATTAAAATTTTTGTAAAAAGTAACTCAAAAAAATTACTTAAATAATAACGATCGCTTTTATGTGAAACTCTTGGAAGCGTGCTCAAGAACAGCTGCAGAAAAATAGAACGTCAATAGTTTTTCGAATAATTTTTAATAATAATTTTTAATAATAATTTTTTCGCTGAAATATTTCTTTTATACCTATAAGATTTTTATTCTAACATTTTATTTTATTTTACTATAAATAAAATTCCTTGTTAACATTAAAAATCTATTCAAAACGTTCGTTTAAGTTTTTTATTAATACGAGTGATTGTGCTTATCAACCGCTTTATGAAAATAAATAAAAATAAATAAATATTATATAAAATCGCTTGTAAAAATACTAGCTATTGCACAGTTTTTATTCGTACAATATTAAAATTTCCAGTTTATTACTCGCTGACTTTTTAAAAAGAAAAAATAATTATTT